AAATTAACTCCTATAAGCACATTTTTTAAAAAAGTTACTATGTGCTTAACTGTGTGATTGTATAAGAAAACAACTATAGTAAAAAAAATTTTAAATAAATTTTACAAGCTTTTAGAATTAATTTAAAAAATTTTTATAAATTTGATCTAGTTGAGTTATAAAGTTTTAAAAAAATTTACATAAAAAAAATATAGTGTATTTCTACTGCTTAAAAATATTATTTGTATAACTTGATTACCTAATTGTAAAATTTTTCTTCATATGATCCAACTTTAAATATAATTATCTTTGTAAAATAATTTTTGATCTAAAAAAAAATAAAAACTAAAAATAAAAACTTTTTTTTTTAAAAAAAAAAATTTTAAACAAAAATTAAAAATAAAATTTTTTTTTTTTAAAAAAAAAATTTTAAACAAAATATCTCATTTACAAAAAAGAAACAACAATTGCTATCCAAACTGTCAAAAGTAACTAAACAAATTAATAATAACTATAATTTTCATATATTAGTAAGAACAAGAATAAAGATAAAGAAAAAAAAATAGTCGAAGACATTAAAGATGTTGAAAATATGGAGAACATAGAGGAGAATTGGTAACAATAATAATAATAAATTTTTAAATACTATAATTTAATATAATAAGATATTAAAAATAATTTAATTTAATAGGTGGAATAATTGGGTTTCGGAGAAAATGGAGGCAAATCAAAAGTTGTGGTTGGAAGAAAAAAATAAAAGATTAAAGAAGACATTAGAGGAAGTAATGAAAGTAGGAGAATTTAGAGTAGAAGTATTAAGAGGGATGTTAAAAGATCAAGAGAAGAAATATGATATTTTAAGTCAGACAAAGAGAAAATTTGAGGTAGGGTATGCTGTATTAAGAAATGATATGATTGAGGTATTAGATACAATAGATATGAGTAGAGAAAGACAGAGAATGAAAGAAAGGTATAATATAGAAGAGTATCCTTTACAAGAGGGAAATTACAGAGTTTTTATAACTTTGACTAAACTAATGAACTAAAGGCTTAGAGATAAATCAGATCTTTTATCATGAAAGAATTAAGGGAAAGATCACAATAACTAAGAGGCTTACAATGATAAATACAACATGATTATAATAATAAAGGCTTTGCCTTTATAAAATTTATATTGAAACTACTTCTAATTATTTCTTGATTCTTGTTTTCTTCTTTTTAGATCTTCATTTGTTCTTTTAAGAATTCTTCTTCAGATTTCATGTAAGTTATCATTTCCATTATTTAGCTAGTAAGCCTCATGTACTAGTCGATCTAGAATTTTAATAATCAATTTGCTTAAGGTTATGAGTTTACTGCACTGATTTCGTCAATCTACCTTTTAGCCCGTGACATTATTTATTTTTTAATATATTTTTATTTTTCATTAAAAGCAGTAGATAAGTCTGATTTATAATAAATTAAACTAAAAAAATATGTAATGCTAAGAATGTTTTAAAAATTTATATGTATAAGTCCAGATTGTAAATTATACAGTCGTACCTCTATATAATCACCTTCTATATAATCACATTATATAAAAACCTTTCTTTATTACATTTTGTACTCAAGAACAAATCACTATTAAACTTATAAAAAAATATCTCATATAAGCACATTTTTTAAAATAGTTCTTAAGTAAAAAATCATGTGATTATATAGGAGGTTGACTGTACTCAGATTATAAATAGTATATATCCGTATTTATAAAAATGTATTCAGGCTCTAACCGAAGTTTGTTTTTTTAGCAACATTTTATTGATATTCAATAACCTATCTGACCCGGGTCAGCTTAATTTTGACCCGTAACCCGCATGACCCATCAAATTTACTGACCCGTACGGGTCAGCCCGACCCGAGTATAAGACCTCTAAGTTAAAGTTACAATTATTATAAAATGCACTTATGATGTTTAACACCATATATAATTGTTTTTAATAAAATTTAGGGTTAGAGTGCATTTTTATGATTTTTTTTTATATACTGTATTATAATATATATTAGATATAATTTCAATAATAAGGATTTTTGCCGTGATTCTTCTAAGAATAACAGAATCTACTACGTACGCACCTGACAGTGAATATTTCGTCATCGATCACATGAGTTGGTGTGAAATCACTTCAATGCAGTATAGCACTAGTATTAACCATTTATGTTATAAATCACTTTCTTTTTATTTCGTCATCCATGCTTGTTATACGTATTGCACGATGCATACGTCATCCATACTTGAATTAAAGGGGTTTTAAAAAAAAACAACGATAAATATATACTGTGTAATTTATGATCAATAACCGCGTACTATAATACCAAAATATTATAGCATGGTAATTTCTGAGATACATCACTGTACCAATGTGATGTATTATCATATATATATATACTATATTATATAAGTATGATTCGAATAAATTATTGTTCAAACATTAGTTATTCGGGCGAATATTCAAGATATAATTTACACTATACCAGAGAAAAGTCGGTAAGCTTCAGTGTTGTACATTTTGACTGTCCTGGGTCTTTTGGCCTTGTCCTATCCTGTCCCGTCTCAACTTTGTCCCATCAATTTCTCAACTTTTAATTTGAAAAGCAATAATAAGAGTTATTTTTTTAAAACCTCAAATTTGTCTTATACACATCCGTCCTAGCTTTGTTCCAACTGTTCCGTGTACAACACTGGTAAGCTCTGCTAGATCATTTAAAGCAAGGTATTGTACATCCTGAGATTAGGTCTTAACCTAATGAGTATTCTCGTGATGTACATTCTCCCATTGGTAATAGAACTTATCGATATTATACTGTATTTATAGACAATGGGTAACAACAACTTGATTAGCTTAGTCGAAAATTACACACAATAAAGAAGGAAGCACAGACCGTCTTTTTTTTGTTAATAGTTAATTAGCTAAAGTTTAATATCGACATTTTGCATAAATCTGATCAATTGTGAAGTTATTTGAAATATTTAAAATTTGAAAATCTTTGAATTAGATTCCTAAATTATTCCATTTGAAATTTTTAATATTAAAAATTTATGTCAAAATGATCTATTCTTAGTTTTTATGATACGTATTAATCCATAACGATAAGTGATAAAATATGAATGAATGAATGTTAGATGACAATCCGATTTTCAACGTCCATTTTTAGAACATTGAAAGACTTTAATAAATAATAACAATCATCTTAACTGTTAATGCAAAAGAAATATACTAGTATCAAAATGAACGGTGCGAATAAACTGGTGGTAGACAAACCTGCAGAATGGTATATCCTTGAATAGTAACTTAGACCATTTATATATAGGTCTCCTTGGCTTTAATAATTCAGAAAGTGAGGTTTGTGTACATTATTATGTACTATCAAATGTCAAAATGCTACATTAACAAATAGAAATTAAATAATCAATTGGCGTTTCATAATATAGCCCTCGTTTGGATATGCACTGATTTATCATTTTGTCATGCTGTATAGTATTAAGTTCACATTTGGTATTTATATATTTTGTAATTTATTCCTAATTAGAAAGATCAATGAATTTTGAAATTCATGTTTGTGTGTGCTTTGGGACGTTCACATTAGTAAGATACAGCACAAGTTTTGTGTAAAGAAAAAATGTTACAATAATATATAAGTTGTTATTGTGGTGTTAGTTGAACCCTTAGAGAATAATTCTTGAAACAATTATTCAAAGTTTATTGTAATGTGTTACGTTGCCATCACAGTTAGGACTTTTTAATGTATGTACATACGTACGTACATACATACGTACATGATGTAAGTCTTGTTTTTTCGAAAAAAAGCTTCTTACAATGTTTATGATAAGCAAGATCTAATTCGTGCAACATGTTCACAAATTCCTATTATAGAAGGGAAATAATTAAATCATTTATTTTATCCTTTGCATAATAACTGGGCATTGGTCAGAAATTATGGAACTTTAACATATGACATAGCTACCGAAGGTATTTACCTACAGCTTGGATAACGAGAGATATATATAGGTTACTAGGTCAAACTGGTTGTTATGATCGTGCATAATGTTACACACAAACCCAAGATTTTAATACATGCAATATAATTACATATTCATATTTGTAGTCGATCATAAACGAATTAATATATCTTAATTACTATATTGATTGGTGTATGCACACCTATTGTTTCTAGTTAAATAGCTTTTATTTGCCTATATATCAATTCAAAGTTTTTTGGCTGTCGTCGAATTTAGTAATCTAAATATCTGCTGTTTCAAACGATATTTGTGTACACACATTGTTATATATTTTTATGCAAGTGATTGTTTGCGAGGCGTATAAAAATCTATTACCTTGTGACCTAATGTTTCTTTTGGCCATTCTAAATCTGCATTTTCCAGTTGATTTTTATTAAAAACCACCCATCAAAAGTATGTAAAGCTACATGCTTCTTTTCTATTATATTATTCAATTTTCATGAATAAAGATAGCTAATAACGTTTAAAAAATTATTCAGGTCCTCTTTGGCCCCCTCTTTTCTTAGTGCGAAATAATAATAACGCCTTTGAAAATTTATCAGATCTATGTTATTATTAATCGTTACGAGGGTCAATTTATATATTAATAATAAATATGAATACATATATGACATCTAATTATTCCAAATCATCTCAGCAAGATTCTGCTGGCGGATCGCCTGAGAGAAAAGGAATATATTCGACTCTTGGAATATTGTCATTTATTTATCTCTCTGTAACAATAATATTATTTTACCAAAGGCGAAAAAAAATTTCTGATATTCGTTACAGACCATTAAGATTGACCATTTTTAATTCAATAGCCATAATCATGCTGTGCGTGATGTTTTGTTTTCGATCGGGATTTTACCCATCGGAATATCCTTGTTTTCTCATACATTGGCCTTCATATATTGGATTTTTTTTAGTTTGTGCCGCGGTAACTTGCAGAGCTATTGTGTTCATTTGGGTGGCTAAATATAATATGGCTAAATTGAGGATAAGTTTAATGCCAGAATCAAATACTATACCATTATCGCCTATAACACCTTTTAGTCCTGTTCACGATAGGATAGGAAACCCGGCGGCGAGGTTAATGCGTCAATTGAAAAAATGGAAGAAAAATGCAACTGATGTATGGATGACACAACGAATTTTGTATCCAACAATAGCAATTGCATTCTTACTAGCTTTCATATTTCAATTATCTTCTCCGGATCTTAGTCTCATTCCGATGCGTAAGGATTGTCCAATAGGCCCTGAGTATGTATCTATTTAAATAATTCTTCTATCTTTATATAAAATACTCATGTTCTTATATATCTATATTTATTAGACATATTCCCATTTTCATTATCCTTGCTCTTTTTCTCTTTATCATTTGCCCTGTTCTAATTTATCTTTTATATAACATAAGAGATGCTTATGGTCTTAGAAATGAGTTGATGGTCACTTTAATTGTTGGTTCTTTTTCCTTCATAATGTTTTTTGTCTGGGAATCTTCCGCATCTCATTTTAGAATTTATATTGGAAGTTTTATGTTTCCATGGGTTACTCTGATATTGAGTCATACCTTATCAATTACGATACCTGTTTGGAAATCGTATAATGGTTCTTTTGATCTTTCATGGTTTGCCGCATTCCATGATAAAAGAATTTCGCGTTCAAAGAAATACGAACAATTTGAAAATGTTTTGGCTGATCCTGATTTGTTTAAGCTTTATAAAGGTAATACCAATCTCTCTTTATCATTATTAAAATATCTTTAACAATATTAATAAATCTAGTTTATCTTTTTTTACAGCTTGTGCTGTAGCATGTTTCTGTACAGAGTTAATCCTCTTTTTAGAAGAATATCAATTCCTGAAAATGTTAGTGGCCAAATGTTGCACTCCATCGAAAAAATGTTTAATTCCACCTCCCACTCCCAAACTTCACGTGTTAGACGGTAGTCACATTACATTTAGTGAAGAAACTCTATTTATAAAAGATATTTCTATCTTACCACCGTTATCACCAACATCTTACATTTCCACTCCATGTACAAAGTCAATTGTTGAAACAGTTTCTGCTGCCTCTTGGATTCCATTTCCTTATGAACTTAGGTCTGACTATAGAATATTTTATGATACTTATCTGAATCTGGATTCAGATTTGGCAATTAATTTTTCTGGAAGTATCGTAAATACTGCTAAAAATATGATAGCTAATGATCAATTTGATTTGTCTATGTATGAAAATGCTCGTAAAGAAACATTGACTCTATTATATGTTAACACTTTTGAAAAGTTTTTGCGTATGTTTGAATCTGAGATTAGAAGTAAAAAAATCTTTGATAATTAATAATGAACAGTACTCTTCTAATAATTTGTTATTTTAAAATATTATTTTTAGTAAATAGTTTTCTTTCTTGAATACTACGTAATAATAATATAAATATTGTATCAATAAATTAGTGATAGTGTATCAGGTGTATCATAATAATATATAAAGTAACTTGTAATTTAATAATTTGATATTTATTAGATAAGTAATATTTTAACTATAAGCAAACAAAATTATAATTTACAAAATAAATAGAATATTTCCAATTTTTTAGCTGCAGTGTAACCTAATTGTCCAATAAAAATGTAAATGCGATTTTAATTTTTATTAATAAAATATAAAATTTTGTTAACTAATTCAAATTTTGTTATGTTTTTTTATATATAAATGCCAAATTTTTGAATTATAACTTTTTAAAAACTAAAGATATTTAAAAATTTTTTTAATAGTTTAATAGTTTAAACAAAAAGCTCTTAAATTATTGTAAAATTTTTTAAATATCTTCTGTTTTTAAAAAGTTATATCAATTTAAAAATTTTTATAATTAAAAGGTGATGGCTTTAGGTGAAATCCACTGTAGATTAAAATAAAATTTTGTACAATATAAAATAGAAAAATACAAATTTTTTAGAGTATTTTTTGACTTCTTTTGAATTAGAGATTAACTTAGAGATAGAGTTTAATAATAGTTAAATTATTATAATTGGCTTGTAGATTTCAGTACTTGGGGTTAAAGAAGAAAATATAAAAATCTGTAAATTCACTATTGCACAAAGTATTATAATTTATAATACTTTGTGTAATAGTAAATTTGCTAATTTTTATATAACCTTAAAATTCACTAAACCAATTTTGATAATTTAATCTAGAGATATTACAGTTTATTCTGGCTTAGTCTTGGTTTTAAAAACTAACTAATTCTACTAAAGAACTACAAACTAAATTGTAATTCAGAACCAGTTTATAAATTGGTTTATAAATTGGTTTATTGGCTAGTTTTCAAAATAAGTTATATAGTTTTAATAATTACTATATATAAAAAACCTTATCCCTTAATTAGTAGAGATTTGCAGGCAAATTTGCCTGCATAATTACTATAAATATGTCTCTGATTTACTTTTTAATTATTTAAAATA